ATGCTGAAAATACAGCTTTGATCACAGGAATACATTACATTTGAACATATATTCACATAGAAAACAGTTATTTTTATTTGTAAAAATATTTAACAATATTACTGGTTTTTTTTTATCAAATAAATGCAGACTGGGCAAGCATGAGAGATTTTTAAAGTCAAAAACATCAAACCATCCTCATTTTGAATAATGCATACATGTTTTAATTCTGTTAAATAATACCAACAGTTGCAGAAACTGTAGTTACTCTTGTTAAAGATTTGTTCATTACTACTGTCCCTGTTTTATGCGTGTAGTCAGCTATGAATAAGCCACAGTCAGGTTGAGCTCCTGATGATTGTAAACACTGTGACCTTGTGGTACTTTCAAAACATTAATCTCTTTGAGCGGTTTGACATGTTAGCTTCTGATTCAGCCAAAAGTATGAGTTACAGTACCTGTTTGTCAGACCAATGATAGATGGGTGTGGGACAGTAGAAGTGTTTGGGAAACGCTTTCAATTATCATTATTTCTATTTAGTGACTCTAATGGCACAAAAAACAAAAATGACATTTTGTCTCAAGTTTGATGGCATTTGTCTCTGTTGGTATTTGTATAGTATATGTATAATACAGTTTTACATTTGTGTAGATGTATAAATTCACCATTACCTCCGAAGCAAACTTAAAAGCAGAGAATGCTTTCAATGTACTAGTCATACAATTTTGATAACAGGTTGAGTAAATGTGTCATTAAATGTCATCTGAGCTTTTTATCTGGACAATGCTGCATCATTACCAAAATGAATCTCAATGCTTTGGTTAATGTGTGCAACAACTGCTGCTTCCCTATAGAACGGGAGAGAGAAAAGTAATAAAACGGCCTGTTACTATGGCAACCATTTGCACCTTGACAGCAGCATCTGAGATGACCTGAAGGGAGGCTTGGTTTTCATCCTTTCTTCAGTTTCCATGGGCTGTGTGATTAGATGAACAACAAAAGAATTAACTCAAAAACATTGCTGTAAATACACTACAGCCAAATCATCTGATAAACAAACCTCAATACATGGCTACACCAAATCTACTCAAACAGGCATGTATATTCACGGTATAAAGTCAGGGTTGTTTATTACGTACCTTAAAGCTGAAACATATCTAGCATATACAGTGTCTCTGTCTCATTTTAACCACAGCAGCTTCATTTCCCTGCTATCAGTCTTCACCGTGCAGTTTTCCATAGCCCAAACGCTTCTCTCTTTAATGTCACTCATGTATTATGAAAAATTCATGGTGCAGATGCTGCAGGGCGTTTCTCGTGGCTTGCACGCTTTCATAGTGTGAGATGTGAAGCTTCAGAAGCATCGGGGATCAGCATGAAAATAGGCTAATTATACCAAACCCAGAAAATGTACAGAAACACAGAATTCAAAGAGGCCATGGGTCATCTGCAGCCCCAGTGCAGTGGCATGATGGGATATTTGGATGCACTGCCATCTCAAAACTGGTCGATAGAGGTGTTACAAGGGTGGAGAAAGAAATATCAGAAATGTTTATTGTGAGAAACATGTTTCTATCAGGTGGAATGAGAAGTTTGTGGGGAAATATGCGCATTAGAACCTGAGAGATATTGTAAATGTAAAGAAAAGATATACACATACACATATAGAACGTGTTGGACCCTGGAAACGCTGGAAACTCCTGAAATACTCAGACCAGCATGTTTGTTTGAGCATCCCAGCCAGTTGTACTCATAGACTCATCCCGTGGCATTGGCGTTTGGGGCAGGGCTGTCCAGTTGTATGACAGATATGATTCAATCAGATTTAGTCAATTTGAGCTTTGTAGTCGTATGGGGGAAAAAATGATAACTTCACTTTTGGGTCATTCCGTGTCAAATCAACCAAATTTCATAAACTTCCCCAGCTAGAATGACTGATTTGGTCATATTTATCCTGAAGGAAGATAAACATAAATGGTGATAAAAACCAAAATATTAAATGTCATGGAAGA